GATCAGGAAACAGTCCTCCATAAAATGTGCTGCACACATCTGAATATTTGGGTTGAACTGTTCTGGAACAGTGTTGTAAATACAACTTAACCACTGATTTCTAGTTGTGTCTTCTTTTGGAAGACCAAACAAAGTAGTTTCGCTTTCACAACGAAACACATGGCGGCTGGCGGATTAGACGAAGGAGCGGCCGGCGGACTTGCACACCAAGAGCTTGTAACACTTCAAAGAGAAAGGAAAAATTGAAATCGCATCATATGACCCCTTTAAAAACAAAGAAAGGGGGGTTACTGGGAGACTATGGGATGCTACAAACTATTAAAAATGGAAATGTAAGGGCCTTGGGTATTCATGTTTTCGGACATGTTTTTAATTGGTAACATGCAAGCAGTGGTGACTCTGCAGAGGCATCAAAGTAGATTTAGCCCACAGGTTATCTGGACTGATGGGTGGAAAGTAAATAATATGTCATTGTGGCCATGGTCCATTGGTGCCCAAGTGCTCATAAACCCAAGCTCTGCTGGGTATATGCAGTGACTGAATAATTCAGAGATTACCACCACTATATGTGCAGTGTTGTTGTAGGGCCATGTTGTCATTTTAATGCAATGAAATGACCATTGTCATCAGATATATATTGTGCAGGAGACTTTGGTTTTTGCTGTGTTCACATCCTGGTCCATTCACTGGGTATGAATATGCTACTTCTCTACTACACAGTATGCGAAAAGCAGTACGCCAGAAGGAGTAGTATGTCTAAAAACAGTCACTTTTAATGCTTGCGACGTTAGTTCTTTGTCAAAAGTACTCTCGGACACAGCTCCTTTCTATTTGTCTCTCAATAAAAATGGAAAAAGTACCTGGAAAGAAAACAATAAGAAATGGCTACTTGTAGGGAAAAGTAGAATCATATTGTGTGGCTATGGTTATTGGTTGAATAGTCTTTATAATAAACACTGCAGATCCTCAAACCAATTTAGTCCATTAAACAGTAGGCTACATAGTTGGCAGAACTGAGGAAGAGTTAACTTTACTTTGCTGTAACCAAAATGTTTAATCAAGGCCCTGGATTTCCTTCTCTGTGTAATTATAAGCTAAAGATGAACAAATGGAAAAAGGTCGGTATTACCGTACTTTTGTGTTTATGGGGTGGGTGATTTCATATGGTTTCATTAAGTTTTTATAAACACATTACAAAACGCATTGGCTTAATATTAGACGTATTACGGGAATAGGAGGATGGCCATAAACAGAACTGTCTTATCTGCAAGAAATAGGCTACAGTTCATTTCACCAAACTTTGCCTGTTGTTTCCTGATTCAAGTCCAGGCAAGATTTCCCGAGACAACAGTTCATCGGAGGTTTAACCGCAGCGTTTATCAGGTAGCCTGTGTTGCGTTTACATATAGCCTACATGAAGGTCGCAAGTAGGTTTTTCATTAAATATGGCTATATTGTTTATATGATAGCCTATCTTCTAACCATCTCATAAAACACATACGCAAGTGTCGAAGTCGAAGATTTCAAACGAGTGAGACAAGATATTCAAGTTTACGTTTCAATCTGCATGACGCTTTGGTAAATAACTGTGGTGATGCATCGCTGTTGTATAACTTTCATTCTGTGCCAATTAAATATAATTAGTTATAGGCTGTTTCTACCAACCTATTTTTATGCGGATTTTATTGCATAAAACGTTGGATGGACGCCGATGGGCATATCTACATTCTAAAAATGCGCATAAAAAGTATTTGCTCGGTTGAGTCGGATCGTTTTTTATCAAGATGCGGATGAACTTCGAAGGAAACATTTACAGAGTGAATTTCTAGGCAACAAAAAACTCACGTGCCTTTGCCTTAACCGTTGACTGATTCACCAATATCATGCATTTTTTAAAAAGTTTTAAAACAAAATAAAATGTGATAACCAAAAATAATTATAATTCTCAACTTGCGCACTGATTTGATTGGACAACTTTGGAATACATCACATCCGGTCTGCGTGTCGCATACGGTGTAGTCGCTCAAGTTCAAATATTTGAACGCATCCGAAGCTCAAATCGGATCCGAAAATTCCGCATTCGCAGATGGTCGGCACCACACGCAGCCCCTGTACGACTCTCCATTGGAAATGAATGACTTCCGGTCCAACGGCTGTCGTTTGTCGTGTGCAGTGGAAAGGCGGCTTAACAGCCCACTAGTCTCATCGCAAACCATCTCACAAGTTTAGTCATTCTGAAGTGCCTGAACCTTGATTTGGTGTAAGTGCCACACAGAGTTGTCTCACACAATTGCGTTACCAAACATCGATCAGGCGCCCGCCTCCGAAAGCAAGACAACATGACAGCGTTTGTTATTGTGTTTCGTCCGCATGCGCGCTCCGATGCGCAAGTCGTTTATGTAGGAAAAAAGAGCCTCACTTCCTGCAGCTTTCGTTTTTATTATTTCGCCAGTTTCCCAGGAAGTGTCCAACTTGTGCATGTTCTCTAGAACCCTTGGGATGGAAACGGAACTTTACTGACAAATGTTTTATGCAATATTTAAATATTCCGCATACATTACATTCACAACTTTGCATGGAAATATAGGTATTGTGAAGAAGGTAGAAATTGATATGTGACCACAGGGTGACAGGTTTTTATTTCTCACCGCTTCTTGGTTATTTCGGGACTCTCGGTGTCTACCATGGTGTGCCTCACACGTCCTGAAAAGTATATATATAGAGCTTCTGATAATGAAAACTGCCCAAACCATGCATGTCGTTAGCAGGGAGAAAGATGGTGACAATTCTAGGGGCCCACAGCCACAACCTGCACCAGGGCCCCTGCATACCCCAGCTATGGCCCTGGCCCAAACACATACATTTTATCCATGCAATCTTTTTATTTAATGTGGAAAACATCACAAAATCACATAAGTATGAAATGAACAAAGATCAAAGTCATAAATAATGACAAGTCTGATGCAACGTTTGCATTTTTTTATGGTTTATTGTGAAGAACCAATTACAAAATGATTCAGCGGGTTCTTTACTGCATTATACGTCATCACATGTCTCTGACTTCCTTGGTATATTACTAAAACGTTCCAATAATATGTTTTTTCATATATTGCTGTTTTTAACCAAAACAGCATATTGCAATACTGCAAGTGTATGTTAAGTGCCCCTTTTGGGACAGGGCTCGCATCTGGCCATTTTCAGTGAGTTGTTGACTCAAGAACCGCTTGGGTAGATTTTTAAACAAATCATTTAAACTGAGTGTAAGCCAATTCAATGATCTAATTCTAAAGATCGGACATTGTTATTACTGGCATCAATTTATGTTTGCGTGTGTTTGTCAGATGGCTCTATCAGGATGGATCTGTTTGGTGACTGGTGCTTCCAGAGGAATTGGAAGAGGTATTGCCCTACAGTTATCTGAGGCTGGCGCTACAGTGTACATCACTGGTCGACAGGAGAAAACTCTGAAGCAGACAGCAGCTGAGGTGTGGAAACTATCTCCTGATTGTATCAATAATAGCCCTCAACTTGGGGAAGGTGATATTGATTTCATGCTTCTTTTATTTTCATGATAACAGATGACAGAGAGAGGTGGCCGGTGTCTTCCAGTGGTCTGTGACTCATCTAAAGAGGATGAAATCAAGGAGCTGTTTGAACGTATTCAACGTGAGCAAAATGGCAGACTTGACTTATTGGTCAATAATGCCTATGCGGGTGTACAGGTCAGTCACAGCTAACTATGGAACAAATTTGCAGTTTTTCTGAATGTGAATTATTTTTGCTTTTGAAAGTTTCATAAAATAACTGTTTTACTATTGTTGTGTTTATGTCTGTGTGTTAGGCTATTTTTGACAACATGAACAAGAAGTTCTGGGAGGTGGATCCAGATGTTTGGGACACAATCAACAACACTGGACTCAGGTACAGTACAGTACAAATCTGGAGGTGACTCCAAATGAGTTCAATTTTTATGAAGAAAGATGTAAAAAATAAATGATTCTGAACAAATTTTAAAACTTTTTTGTCATTTATCAGACTACATTTATTTGATAAATGACAAAAAAACAGTAATATTGTATTTTTATTCATTTTGAGGAATACTGAATCTGTGTTTTTTTTGTGAGTGAGATGAATTAATGCATATTCATATTTATTTTAGAACTACAGTAACATCTGATTTCTCTCAGCATGGGGACAGGAGAGCTGTCAATCAATAAATTGAAAAAAAAAAGTAACTTGCGTTACTTATTTGAAAAAGTAACTCAGATATTCTCTTGTAAATTAAAAAGTAATGCGTTACGTTACTCATTACTTGATAAAAGTAATCTGATTACGTAACTTGCGTTACTTGTAATATATTACCCCCAACACTGGTTATTACTGGCATCAATTTATGTTTGCGTGTGTTTGTCAGATGGCTCTATCAGGATGGATCTGTTTGGTGACTGGTGCTTCCAGAGGAATTGGAAGAGGTATTGCCCTTCAGTTATCTGAGGCTGGCGCTACAGTGTACATCACTGGTCGACAGGAGAAAACTCTGAAGCAGACAGCAGCTGAGGTGTGGAAACTATCTCCTGATTGTATCAATAATAGCCCTCAACTTGGGGAAGGTGATATTGATTTCATGCTTCTTTTATTTTCATGATAACAGGTGACAGAGAGAGGTGGCCGGTGTCTTCCAGTGGTCTGTGACTCATCTAAAGAGGATGAAATCAAGGAGCTGTTTGAACGTGTTCAACGTGAGCAAAATGGCAGACTTGACTTATTGGTCAATAATGCCTATGCGGGTGTACAGGTCAGTCACAGCTAACTATGGAACAAATATGCAGTTTTTCTATATATTTACTATTGTTGTGTTTATGTCTGTGTGTTAGGCTATTATGAACAACTTGAACAAGAAGTTCTGGGAGGTGGATCCAGATATTTGGGACACAATCAACAACACTGGACTCAGGTACAGTACAGTACAAATCTGGAGGTGACTCCAAATGAGTTCAATTTTTATGAAGAAAGATGTAAAAAATAAATGATTCTGAACAAATTTTAAAACTTTTTTGTCATTTATCAGACTACATTTATTTGATAAATGACAAAAAAACAGTAATATTGTGAAATATTAGTTTCAAAATAACTTTCTGTTTTAATATATTTTAAAATATATACATGAATAAAAGTATTAATTTCTTTAAAAAATCTTTCTGACCCCAAATGTGACCCTGGACCACAAAACCAGTCATAAGGGTCAATTTTTCGAAATTGAGATTTATACATCATCTGAAAGCTGAATAAATAAGCTTTCCATTGGTGTATGGTTGTTATATTTGTTATACAATATTTAGCTGAGATACAACTATTTGAAAATCTGGAATCTGAGGGTGCAAAAAAATCTAAATACAGAGAAAATCGCCTTTAAAGTTGTAAAAAATCAAAAAGAAAAATCAATAATTTTGACCCATACAATGTATTTTTGGCTATTGCTACAAATATACCCAAGCGACTTAAGACTGGTTTTGTGGTCCAGGGTCACAAATATTTAAATCAGTTGCTTATGACAACTTAATTACCTAAACATCAGTACCACATACATTTTTGACTTATTACACAATGAATTAAGTGAATTAAATCAAATTATTTAATTGAAAAAAAATCTGTGATGAAAAGTTGGATAATTGAAAATATTTATAGCAATTAATTTTCTTTGGACTTTCGGAGCCTTTTCAGAGATCATGGTCACTGTTTTCACAGAGGTCACTATTTCTGCTCAGTGTATGCCGCACGGATGATGGTGGCGCAGGGCAAAGGCTTGATTGTGTTCATATCATCCATGGGTGGTCTGCGCTATCTCTTCAATGTATCGTATGGGGTCGGCAAAGCTGCAGTGAGTCCGTGCACACAGCATTACAGATTCTGTATCTGAAGTAATTTTCAGTGTAACATATTTGAAAGATGGTTAATTTCTATTCCTTTATTCATCTTCATTGTTCATTTATGCTTTAAACTTTCTTTTGGTTCTTCAGTGTGACAGAATGGCAGCGGACATGGCAGTAGAGCTGAAGAAGAAAGGTGTGGTTTCTGTAAGCCTCTGGCCATGGGCCGTTCAGACTGAGTTAATTAATCAGTATATATTTTGTGATGAGGCTCCTCCAGGATTTGATCCAAAAGTAAGCCATTTTTATTTGTCTCATCATCATTGCTTTGTAAGTTCATGAAGAATAGGTGTGATTATGAAATAAATACATTTAGCTAAATATCTGATTACAATCTATCTTTCTCAGTTCAAGGAAATGTTCAGGAAGGGTGAAACGACAGAGTTTAGTGGACGATGCATAGTTGAGCTGGCCAAAGGTTGGATTTTTTTAAAAGACTGAATGAGTAGTTAAAGGAATAGATCACCCAAAAATGGAAATTCTGTCATCATTTACGAGTTGTTCAAAACCTGTAAGAGTTTTTTCTTCTGTTGAACACAAAAGAAAATATTTTGAAGAACGCTGGTATCAAACAGTTGCTGGTATGATTATGGAAAAAAAAATACTGCGGAAGTCAATTGGTTACCAACATTCTTCAAGTACCTTCTTTTGTGTTTAACAGAAAAAGTGAGTACTGTAAATGATAACAAAACTTAATTTTTAAACTATTCATTTAAAGGGGAAAAGGTTTATGAATTATTCTGATTTGTCTGGAGGCCCTTGCTGATGTGTTACTTTCTGCTTCTTGGTGACAGATAAAAATCTGATGTCAATGACCGGGCAAGTGTTGATGACCTGTGACCTCGCTCGCCCCTATGGACTCAAGGATGTGGATGGTACGGTGACAGATGTTTATGTAGGAGTGATGGTGCTTCCTGTTATGATCAATGATACTTACATGTAGATGTTCCAAAATGAAATTCTACAGAGGGTTTTTTTATGTCCTACTTGTCGTTTCAGGTCGCAGTGTCATGGACTACACCTCTCTGAAGTTCCTCATGTCCCAGGTGCCCTATGTGTCCTGGCTGTCCGTATTCACTCCTTCATTCATCAGAGTGCCTCGTTCCATGCTGAGCCTGGGCAAATTCTAACACGCCTCGGTGCAAACACTGTGGCTATTTTTGGTAATCCTGTCATGTATGTTGATCATGTACATGCGTTTTTACTTCGTTGTTTTAAAGATGCCATCAAGATAAAGTCATTTAGCTGGCTGTAAAATTGTCATTAATTTCTTGCTACTGTTGCTAATTAAAAACTATTACATTAAAAATAAGAAGACACCCAGCATATACAGTATCTCACAGAAGTGAGTACACCCCTCACATTTTTGTAAATATTTTATTATATCTTTTCATGTGACAACACTGAAGAAATGACACTTTGCTACAATGTAAAGTAGTGAGTGTACAGCTTTTATAACAGTGGACGCTTTTTACAACATGCAAAGAAGTGAGAGCAATAACACCAAATTTAACACACCTGCTCCCCATTCACGCCTGAGACCTTGTAACACTAATGAGTCACATGACACCGGGGAGAGAAAATGGCTAATTGGGCCCAATTTGGACATTTTCACTTAGGGGTGTACTCACTTTTGTGGCCAGCGGTTTAGACATTAATGGCTGTGTGTTGAGTTATTTTGAGGGGACAGCAAATTTACACTGTTATACAAGCTGTACACTCACTACTTTACATTGTAGCAAAGTGTCATTTCTTCAGTGTTTTCACATGAAAAGATATAATAAAATATTTACAAAAATGTGAGGGGTGTATTCACTTCTGTGAGATACTGTATAAGCCACAATGTTTGGGTGTCAAAAATATCATAATTTTCAGTATATTTACTATTTGTATCAGGAAAAAAATGTCATCTCATTTCCATAATACTGACAGTGATCTTCACTGCAAAAATAATTCACATTGCACAAGAGGAAAATATGTGTATTTTCACACCCAGCCCTGAGCTCGTTGATAACTTGGTAGTTTTGAGTGTGGCAAATGTCAATGACATGGTCATTTTTATTTGCAATGCAAATTCCTGAACAGTTAACCAAACACGTTTCAAAAAATGGAAGAAAACATAGAACCTGCCTATAACACTGAAATCTGAAATATAAATAAATACTACTCAAAATGTCAAAATTTGACATTTATAATTAAACTTGTAATATTTTGGGACATCAGAGCATTCACAATTTGGTATTATTGGGGTTGCAAAAAACAAAACAGAACAAAAAAACACTGCCATTCATGCAAGTCACCATTGTTTTGAGTATCAGCTACTGAGGAAGATATATTCAAAGGCTTTCTCGACTTTAAAAGACTGAATATTTGGTGGTGTATACTGTAACAAGATATATAACAGTGAGGCCTCTGCCAGTCCATTTGCTCAAATGATGATGTTTGTCACTGAACAATTAACATTTCTCTGAATGTGGTTTGCCACTTAGTTTTTATTACTGAAATTAAACCTCTACCTTTTTATTAAAGCTTTATCTTTATTAGGGAAACACAGTGCATCGATTAGCTTAATATCTAACCATGTGAACTGTGCACCTTAAAAAGAGCAAGAATGTGTTACTGGGAGACTACTGTATATGTGATGCTACAAACTATTAAAACTGAAAGGACCAGTGGCCTTGCGTATGGTGGCATGTTGTGGACTTTGGTTTTTAATTCTCTAATAATGGTTTGATACAAGCAGTGGTGACTCTGCAAAGAGGCATCAAAGTAGATTTAGCACAGAGGTTATCTGGATCGATGAATGGCAAAGTACACAATGTATTATTGTGGCCAAGGTCCTTTGGTGACCAAGTGCCCCACAATCATAAAGCCATGCTCTGCTAGGTAAATGTAGTGACTAAACAATTCAGAGATTTCCACTATTGGGGGAGTGATGCTGTTGTAGGGCCATGTTGTCAATTTAATGCAATGAAATGACCATTGTTATTATCAGATATATTGCACTGTTCAGGAGACCTGGGTTTTTGCTGTGTTCACATCCTGGTCCCCCGCTGCATCTTCTCTACTACACAGTATGCCAGGGGTTCTCAACTCTGGCCCTCGAGGCCCACTTTCCTGCAGAATTTAGCTCCAACTCTAATCAAACATACCTGAACAAGCTAATCAAGGTCTTCAGGATTACTGTGTGAGTTTGATCGAGGTTTGTATTAAACTCTGCAGGAAAGTTGCAGAGAGCCCCTGCAGTATGCAAAAAGCAGTACGCCAGAAGAGTAGTATGTCTGAATACATAATATTTGAAAAGCAGTAGACGAAAAGTACTGTATGACTACTGTCACATTTAATGGTTGCGAAGTAGGCCTAAGTTCTTTGTCAAAAGTAGTACCTACTCTTGCTTTATGTTATTTCAGACACAGCTCTCCTCTCACTTTGCCTCTCAAAAATGTAATAAGTACCTGAAAAGAAAAATACCAATGAGAAATGCCTATACATATAGGGGAAAGTGGAATCATGTTGTGTGGCTATGGTTATTGCTTGAATAATCTGTATAAACACTGCAGGTCCTCACTCATGGGAACAGTTTAGTCTAATAAACAGCAACATAGTTGGCAGAAACCTAACCTTGATGTAAACCTAAATATTTTAACAAGGTAATGGATTTCCCGCTCTGTGTGATATGAAATGGGCTGCATTAGCATACTCATGTTCATTGGGTTGCAGATTTCATGTGTTTTAAATATGTTTTAAAAGCATCGTTTACATTCGCAAAACACATGGGCTTTATATTAGACGTATTACGGGAGTGGGAAGAAGGGCCATTAACATGACTGTCTTATCTGCACGTTATAAATTGGCCAGTTTATTTCACCACACTTTTCAAGTCTAGGCAAGAGTTCCTTAGAGACAATTACCATTCATCGGAGGGTTAACCGCGCCGTCGAACAGGTACGTGTTGCGTTATAGCCTAAATACAACATGTAAATATGACGGTCGCAAGTAGGTTTTTCATTGTAATATCATACGGCACGGCAGTAATATCTTCTATCCATCACATTAATCAAATACAAAACAAGTCGAATGTTTAACACGAGAGGCACAAGTTTTTCAAGTTTACGTTTCCATCTGCACGCTTAGGTAAATATAATTGTGATTATGTATATCACTTACTCCTGACCAATTAAATGTCGTTGTGAAGAAGGTTGCAATGGATAAATGTGACCACAGGGTGACAGGCAGGCTTTTTTTCCTCACTTGTTTGAGTGTTACTGACTAGGGAGTCATTTCCACGAATCGGTTCTTTAGGAACAGTTTTAAAGAACCGATTACAAAATGATTCTGTGGTTCTTTGCGCTGTTACGTAATCACGTCATCGCGTTTTTCATTGTTTTAAGAAAATGCTATCATATTAATAAATAAATTATATATATATATATATGTATGTGTGTGTGTGTATATATATATAACCATAGTAGCATACCCCATTTGGGACGGGACTCATATCTGGCCTGTTTTTTTTTTCAGTGAGCTGTTTACTTGAGAACCACTTTGGCCGATTTTAACCAAACCGTTTATACTGATTATGTGAACCAGTTCAATAAACTAATTCTAAAGATCGGACATTAAAAAAAAGTAACTTGCGTTACTTATTTGAAAAAGTAACTCAGATATTCTCTTGTAAATTAAAAAGTAATGCGTTACGTTACTCATTACTTGATAAAAGTAATCTGATTACGTAACTTGCGTTACTTGTAATATATTACCCCCAACACTAGTTATTACTGGCATCAATTTATGTTTGCGTGTGTTTGTCAGATGGCTCTATCAGGATGGATCTGTTTGGTGACTGGTGCTTCCAGAGGAATTGGAAGAGGTATTGCCCTACAGTTATCTGAGGCTGGCGCTACAGTGTACATCACTGGTCGACAGGAGAAAACTCTGAAGCAGACAGCAGCTGAGGTGTGGAAACTATCTCCTGATTGTATCAATAATAGCCCTCAACTTGGGGAAGGTGATATTGATTTCATGCTTCTTTTATTTTCATGATAACAGATGACAGAGAGAGGTGGCCGGTGTCTTCCAGTGGTCTGTGACTCATCTAAAGAGGATGAAATCAAGGAGCTGTTTGAACGTATTCAACGTGAGCAAAATGGCAGACTTGACTTATTGGTCAATAATGCCTATGCGGGTGTACAGGTCAGTCACAGCTAACTATGGAACAAATTTGCAGTTTTTCTGAATGTGAATTATTTTTGCTTTTGAAAGTTTCATAAAATAACTGTTTTACTATTGTTGTGTTTATGTCTGTGTGTTAGGCTATTTTTGACAACATGAACAAGAAGTTCTGGGAGGTGGATCCAGATGTTTGGGACACAATCAACAACACTGGACTCAGGTACAGTACAGTACAAATCTGGAGATGACTCCAAGTGACAAATATTATGCAGAGATGTACACATAAATAATTTTTAATGAATTTGAAGACTTGTCACATCTAAGAGACAGGTCATTTGGGGGTTGTTTTTAAAAACATCTCTTATGCTCACCAAGGCTGCATTTGTTTGAGAAAATAGAACAGTAATATTGTGAAATATGATTACAATTTTAAATAACATTTTGTGTTTTAATATATTTTAAAATGTATATATATGAATAAAAGTATTAATTTTTCTTAAACTTTAGTTCTTTTTTTTATTGTTTAAATATTTCAATTTCTTAAATCAAACTTTTGAATGGTAGTGCATGACAACTTGAGTACCTAACCACATGAAACTTACTTATTTGACCCTGTAAAAAAACTAATTTATTTAAATAGAGGTTATATGACTTAATGCAATTATTAAATTGAAAAATCTGTGATTAAAGGCTGGAAAAGTGAAAAATTCATAGCAATTAATTTTCTTTGGACTTTCGGAGCCATTTCAGAGATCATGGTCACTGTTTTCACAGAGGTCACTATTTCTGCTCAGTGTATGCCGCACGGATGATGGTGGCGCAGGGCAAAGGCTTGATTGTGTTCATATCATCCATGGGTGGTCTGCGCTATCTCTTCAATGTATCGTATGGGGTCGGCAAAGCTGCAGTGAGTCCGTGCACACAGCATTACAAATTCTGTATCTGAAGTCATTTTCAGTATATCATTTCAGTTGCACAGAATTCCACAATCATTCTTTCTGTTTGTAGACTATTCCTTCATTATTCTCAATGTATTTATTTATGCTCCAACTTTCATCCGGTTCTTTTCTTCAGTGTGACAGAATGGCAGCGGACATGGCAGTAGAGCTGAAGAAGAAAGGTGTGGTTTCTGTAAGCCTCTGGCCAGGGGCA